TTTATATACCCCCCCCTTTCCAAGAATCAATAAATACAACAGAAATAAATAACTTAATGGAACAACTTCCTAAACCCAGAATCTTACTAGGAGACTTTAACAGTCATAATCCTATCTGGAACAGCAAAAAGCTAGATACTAAAGGTAAAATATTAGAAGAAATAATAAACACCCATAACTTATGTCTATTAAATCATAAATCCTCGATCTACCTAAATCCCTCCAGTGGATCAGAATCATCAATAGATTTAAGTATATGCGATCCAGAAATTTGTATGGACTATACATGGAGAACACATATCGACACATGTGGCAGTGATCATTACACGATCATTCTAGAAAATCAAAAGCCTGCCAAGGAAGAAAAGATAGGCCCCGTCAGATGGAAACTGAAAAGAGCCAACTGGGAGGGTTTCAAAAACAAATGTAAACAATTACTGATACAGTCAAAGGACACGGACAACTCGATAGAATACTTTACCAAAACACTAATAACCATAGCCTCAGAAAATATATACCAAAAAAGCAAAATAATTATAAAAAAACCAAACCCTGGTTTGACAAAAACTGCCAAAAAGCAGTCAGAAACCAGGAAATGGCACTGCGAAAATTCAAAAAGGAACCCACAACCCATAATTTGATTGAAATGAAAAAACTCAAAGCAGTAGCACTGATGAAAAAACTGTTAAAAAAAGAAGCCAAAAGGAATGTTGGAAAAAAATATGTAAACAGCCTAAATACACATTCCAAAACCAAAACAATATGGGCAATGATGAGAAAAATAGCTGGAAAAAATCAAATATCCCCAATAATACATCTTAAAAAGAACAACACTAAAGCAACCAGCAAAAAAGAGATTGCAAACCTACTAGCAGACATATTTGCAGAAAACTCTAAAACGAATAAAAATCAAAACCTACAAAAGTATAAACAAAAAGATATAAATAACCAACTAAATTTTTCATCTAAAAATACAGAAGCCTACAACAACCTATTCACCGAAGCAGAACTAATAGAAGCCATAAAAAAAATCCCCCAACACAGCAGTAGGCCCAGACCATATCCACTATGAATTTATTAAACAACTACCACAAGAATCGCTGAAATACCTGTTAAATATTTTTAACAATATTTGGACAACTGGGAAATTTCCCAAAATATGGAGAGAATCGATAATTATTCCCATACTCAAAGAAGGAAAAGAGGGAAACAATCCACAAAGTTACCGACCAATAGCATTAACAACCTGTCTATGTAAGACAATGGAGCAAATGGTCAATGCCAGATTGAGTTGGTTTCTAGAAGAAGAAAATACATATCAAAATATCAATGTGGATATAATAAAGGAAGAAACAATAGATCACATAATAAGACTAGAAACAGCCATAACAGTGGCCAATTTAAACAAACAATATCTAATAGCCATATTCTTTGATATAGAAAAAGCATTTGATCAAACCTGGGAACATGGTATAATGAAAGATCTGCATAAACTTGGACTAAGAGGTTGACTACCAAACTTTGTAAAAGGATTTTTAACAGACTCTTCCAAGTACAAATAGATGCTACACGTTCTGATTATCAAAAGCAAGAAGAGGGAGTACCACAGGGAAGTGTACTCTCCCCTACACTTTTCAAAATAAAAATAAATGACATAATAAAAAACATCAAACCAGGAATATACTGTAGCCTTTACATTGATGATTTTACAATATATTACAGATCAAGAAACCTCAACACAGCAGAAAGACAACTCCAGCAATGCTTACATCAAATAAACAAATGGACACTCAAAAACGGTTTTAAAATATCAAAAACAAAAACAAAATCTGTACACTTCTGTCAAATGAAAAAATTACACAATAACCCAACTCTAAAACTAGGAAATGAAGAAATACCAGTAGTTCAGCAATACAAATTTCTAGGAATGATCTTTGACAGCAAACTGACCTTTAGACCACATATCAATTACCTAAAAACAAAATGTTTTAAAGCTCTCCAACTACTGCGAACAGTAGCCCATACAGAATGGGGAGCTAGCAAAGAAACCCTTCTAAAACTTTATAGAACATTGATCCGTTCCAAATTGGACTATGGCAGCATGGTCTACCAATCTAGAAAGTCTTATCTAAAAACAATAAATACAATACACCATGAAGGCCTTTGGATAGCTCTAGGAGCCTATCCCACCTCACCTATAGAGAGTCTACATGTAGAGGCAAATGAACCCCATTACAACTAAGAATGGAGAAACTAGCAACTCAATACTATCTAAAACTCTCTTCCTGTCCTTCTAACCCACACACGATTGTTGTGTACTTACACCAAATCATAAAGAGAAATTTAATCTTAACACAAATAAAATCAAAACATTGGGACTCGAATGGAAGGAATCATCCAAGAAAATAATATACAGTCGAATCAAATACTTAAAACCGACCAATCAAACATGCCACCATGGATAATCAAAAACCCAAACATAATATTAAGTTTAAACAAATTATCAAAATCAAAAACACACCCCACAACATATATTGAAAAATTCTCAAAAAATAAAAGAAAAACATCAAAACTATGAAAGTATTTACACGGATGGCTCAAGAGACAAAGAAAAAACAGGCAGCGCAGCAATAATAAAAAAAACAATTATCAAAAAACGCTTGCCAAATGAAGCATCAATTTTCAGAATGAAGAAGCCTCATAATAAAACTAGCACTAAATTTCATATGTAAAAAAACAAAGGAGAAAACTACATTATTATCTCGGATTCATTATCTGTATTAACATCCCTAAAAGGGGAGGAAAACTGGAAAATCCATTACTACAAAGTCTCCTATATAAACTACATTCCATGGAAAAAAGCAAAAATATCATCTTCTGCTGGATTCCTAGCCATGTTGGCATCCAAGGAGGAGACACTGCAGATACTGCTGCTAAATCATCTTTAAAAATGACAACAGACAAAAATCTTCAAATTCCATATACAGACTTAAAATCTAAAATAGATAAATATATAAGAAACAAATGGCAAAATTCATGGAAAAACCAAACTGGAAACAAACTATTTCAAATTAAACCTAAAATGGGGAAATAATCTTGGAAATACTCTGAAAAAACAAGTCATCATAAGCAGAATACATATAGGACACGCATACTTAACCCATTCTTATATATTAAAAAAGACAAATCCACCAAAATGCAAATGTGGAAGCCTAATCACAATAAAACATATCCTATTGGAATGCAAAACCATAACTAAAATAAGACAAAAATATCTCATTGGAAAAGGCTTAAAAGAAATTTTCAAAAATACAGACACAGATAAAATATACAACTTTCTCAAAGAAATCAAGATCCTCAACAAAATATAACCCTTTCAAATAGTGTATATGTATATGTGTTTATAGACATATATATATATGCATGCATAGATGTAGATATGAAAATATACAATCAGAAACAATCACAAGAAAAAGCAATCCAAAAAATACAGTAGATTATGAAACCCAACAGCCTCCCAACCTTTTATACAATATAACCATCTTAAATTCATAAATAAATAAGGCTTCGGCATAAAATGACCCAAATAGGAGTTGACATGCCGTTAAATCCAACATCCATCCATCCATTCACTTTGTGTATGTGTGTACGAGTACTAATTTCAATCCTTGAAACTTAACATACTCCTGGAAAAATCCTGGATTTATTTTTTACGTAGATCTGTGGAAACACTGTTTTTATGAAGTCACTTATTCTAAAGTTTGTTTGATTCTCATTGTTTATATATCACTTATGTTCAATTTTTGTAGATAAAAAAAAAAAAAAAAAAAAATGAACCAATTTTGCTATTGATACTAGATTCTTTGCACAGTATTGTCTTTATAATTCAAGAAATTCTTAATTTAAAAAAATTTATTTTTTTTTTTTTTTTTTTTCATAACAAATTTACAAGCTTCAATGTAATAATAATTACTTGAAGCTTTTTTAAAGTTTGATTTTCATTTAGTTAAAAAAAAAAAAATTTCCAAAATTATAGTTGATTAATCTGTATTATATATATATAATATATATATATATATATATATATATATATATATATATATATATATATTATAAATTCATGAATTATTCACAAAAACAAATGCAAAGGTTAATGATTTAATTGGCGAGAAATCCATCGTCGCAAACAATTTAAATAATATACAAAAACCTCCGAATCCGTTATGAATGAAAAGATTCTTGTTTCTATAAATTTCTGCCGCATTAGTTCTTATTTTTACTACAAGCTTTCGTCTGTTCCTACAGACATCTTCAGGTATAGAATAGATGTTGTTCTTGTTTTTCTCTTAGTAATAAGAGGACAAAAATATATGTATTGTTGTATCCGAAAATGCTATTGGAAATGAGTTATTGTTTTTGAGCGTGCAATAGCAACGCTGAGTTTGATTTTAAATTTTTTTACAGTTGTGCGTTCATGTACAAATATGGTGATAAACGAATTTTTACTGATAAATTTTTCTGTCAAAGGGGCATGAACTATATTGTTCAATAATTACAGTAATGTCGCACTTATTATCCAAAAGTCGCACTTGGATCAGTTATTTTAATTTCGATAAACGTGCAATCAATTTACAAATTCATGAATTATTCACACAAAAACAAATGCAAAGGTTAATGATTTAATTGGCGAGAAATCCATCGTCGCAAACAATTCAAATAATATACAACGACGTGATCATATTTAAACGGAATTCTGATCTTATATAAAAATTTCAGTTATCTGTTTGGATTAGTTGTGCTCTTATGTCCATCGTCTTTTGTGTTAAATTTTTATATGTTCTAATGTTAATTATGTTTAAATGAAAATGTCCATGAAGATGGTCTTAAATAGACCGAAACGTCCGACATCGACTTTATATTAACATTAATACAGCATAATTGCATATTAAGATTTTTGTTTGTTTTTTTCTGTATTTTTCTTTATATATATATATTTCAAGGTTCCAACTTCAACAAGCAATCCAAAACATCGGCGCTCAAAATCATCTTCAAATGCTGAGATCTGGCTTGAACATAAAGCACGCAACCAGGAGATAGGTAACTTTGCTTTAGTTTATCCTTAATCTAAATTAAAATAATCTTATTGCAAAACTAATTATGTAGTATATTTTTATTTCCTTTATTTTCACAATAAGTTTCCATGATGTGAATTCTGTTTAAATTTTCTTAAAGAATTAATTCATAAAAAGCTTAGATATTTTAATAAATCATGCTTTAATTTATTTTATCAGATAACCACAAAAATCTTGTGAGTCATTTGTGACCATCCCTATTTTAGCTTTTATATTTATATATGTATGTAAAGTGTTGAAAAATTTAACTAAAATAATTTTTGCTTCTATTTGTGTGTGCATGTGCATACGTCCCCCCACTCACAAACACACACATACTTTATATAACCATTGCTAGAGCATCTTATTTATCTTTTTTCTTAGACATGGTTGCATGGTGTAAAGTAATTGAAATTGTTTGGTTATGTGTTAGATAATTTTTATTTAATCAAAATTTAGATATTGATGCAACTTTTGATTTAAATTATGTTTAACCAATATTTTCATTATAGATAGGGACATATATAAAACTTTATGTAAATTGCTAATATAGTGAAGATTTTTATGAATTTCCGGGATGAGACATCATCATTATTTACATATTTCATCTTTTTTGCCCTCCACCCTTCATCAGATGCTTGTTGAACTGAAACTTTTATCTACAGAGGTAGAGTGTAAGGATGTGTGGGTGGTGTAATGAGAAATTAGAGAGCTGAATTTGATATATTCACTTACATGCAAATACTCTTCACAAAGTATGAATCCATTGCTTCTTCCACATGGATTAAATTGCAGAGCAGACTGGGCTCTTGAGCCTTATAGTTGGCAATCAATCTAGGAAGGAGGACAGCACTCAATTTAAGACTCTATGTGGCCTTTATTCTATGGTAGATACCTTAAGCAAGATTTCTCTTTAAGTTTTCAACTGAAGTGCTTCCTCAAAAACAAATGTTGTGCAGGGATACATGCAATGTATTATGCAACTGTTCCTTTTTTTTATAGCTTATTCTTGTTCCACTGACCATATCTAGGAATATTTCATTTAGTACTTCTCAGTTATTGTTCATTTTGTTTCTACCAAATCTACACTACCTGGCTCAGGTATTGAACTCACTATGTCACAAAATTCACAAACCAACACTGTAATCACTAGGCTATTGTGGGATAATACGGAGTATAGAACTTAGATCCTTCATGACTGACTTCATTTTCGACTTTAATTACAGATTTTCTATCTTCTTTACCTTACTTTTAGTGGGTGGCTGGTTTCACCTTTATATTTTTTGCTAAAATTGCAAAGGATTGAATACTCAATTCTTGGTCATGTTCTCCTCTGTGTGAGGCTTGACTTGGCAGATTTCTCTCTAGAGTCAAGCTGCTTCTGAATATTTCTCTGCTGTATGGATTGCAGATCTTCTGAATGATAAGGTAAGGAAAACACTGGCAGTTTTCTGGTTTTCTTCCTTGACTCTCTGCTTTTGCCTATAAGTGCTGATGTTATGCTTGCAGAGTAGTTATTCTAAATATACACTTGATGCTGGTCATCTGTAGGTATATGTCTACAATATGTCCAAAAAATAAGTCGCATTATCTGAAAGAAACCATGCCTATGCTAGGCTATGAGGACCTCCTTAGTAGGACTAGCATATGGGTGTTGTTAATAAAGAGAAATGACAGCAATGCTTCAACAGCAGCAATAGAAAAGAGAAGCCTTAGTGAAGGCAGTCTTAGTGTTAAGCAGACAGTCTTAGTGAAGGCAGTCTTAGTGTTAAGCAGACAGTCTTAGTGAATGCAGTCTTAGTGTTAAGCAGACAGTCTTAGTGAATGCAGTCTTAGTGTTAAGCAGACAGTCTTAGTGAATGCAGTCTTAGTGTTAAGCAGACAGTCTTAGTGAATGCAGTCTTAGTGTTAAGCAGACAGTCTTAGTGAATGCAGTCTTAGTCTTAAGCAGACAGTCTTAGTGAATGCAGTCTTAGTGTTAAGCAGACAGTCTTAGTGAATGCAGTCTTAGTGTTAAGCAGACAGTCTTAGTGAATGCAGTCTTAGTGTTAAGCAGACAGTCTTAGTGAATGCAGTCTTAGTGTTAAGCAGACAGTCTTAGTGAATGCAGTCTTAGTGTTAACAGACAGTCTTAGTGAATGCAGTCTTAGTGTTAAGCAGACAGTCTTAGTGAATGCAGTCTTAGTGTTAAGCAGACAGTCTTAGTGAATGCAGTCTTAGTGTTAAGCAGACAGTCTTAGTGAATGCAGTCTTAGTGTTAAGCAGACAGTCTTAGTGAATGCAGTCTTAGTGTTAAGCAGACAGTCTTAGTGAATGCAGTCTTAGTGTTAAGCAGACAGTCTTAGTGAATGCAGTCTTAGTGTTAAGCAGACAGTCTTAGTGAATGCAGTCTTAGTGTTAAGCAGACAGTCTTAGTGAATGCAGTCTTAGTGTTAAGCAGACAGTCTTAGTGTTAAGCAGACAGTCTTAGTGAATGCAGTCTTAGTGTTAAGCAGACAGTCTTAGTGAATGCAGTCTTAGTGTTAAGCAGACAGTCTTAGTGAATGCAGTCTTAGTGTTAAGCAGACAGTCTTAGTGTTAAGCAGACAGTCTTAGTGAATGCAGTCTTAGTGTTAAGCAGACAGTCTTAGTGAATGCAGTCTTAGTGTTAAGCAGACAGTCTTAGTGAATGCAGTCTTAGTGTTAAGCAGACAGTCTTAGTGAATGCAGTCTTAGTGTTAAGCAGACAGTCTTAGTGAATGCAGTCTTAGTGTTAAGCAGACAGTCTTAGTGAATGCAGTCTTAGTGTTAAGCAGACAGATTAGGTTTAAGGTTTCATGTGCCTCACTCTGGATTTTCCCATACGAAAACTGCTTGATGTGTCGGTTCATGAATTTGGTGACATAGTAATTTTGAGTCCAGACTTACTCATTGGAAATAGTACTAAATAACTAGACTATATACCCATAAACATGAACAGTGGATTGAGGACAATGTGCTCCCATAGATTAGTGTTCAGTTCAAAATTCCCTGAAAGTTAATTAAATCACCAAGCACCTGATGAACCAAGAGGGTATATAATAAGAATGATGAAAACCATAAAGTGTAAATAGTAAAGATTTTTAACTGCTTATAGAATAATTAAATATTAAATATACTTGACTTCTAAATTGAGGATTTTTATTATATTTACTTTGTAATATATAAAATTATGGTTTGATATAAGTAAAATTACAATTTATATTATTGGATAAAAATAAATGGATGAATTTTAATTTTTATCATTTTTTATATTGTAATCTGGTTTTATGACAAAAATTTGTCAATGTTGAATTTAATAAACTAAACAATAAATATGGATGACCAAAAATGACAAACCTGATTATTCACAATGGCAAAAATATATTCCCAACATTAAAACACTGTCACATGATGAGCAATGTTAGTAAATTTATAATTTCCAGTTACATGTCCAAGTATTAGGCAATCTTCTAAATTTGAAATATAATTTCTTTCTCTTGCACTTAGTTTTGTACTCAAATCTTAACTCTTATTTCATGTCTGAGATGTATTTGCATATATACTTTTTCTTGATTGTTAATTAAACTTTATTTTATTTTTATACAAGATACAGTTCTTCAGCCAAAGTTAAAGAAAAAACGTTCAGTATCGAGGCTGACTGAAAAAGACACTAAAGATGTGAATAAATATTGTTTGAATCATCAGGAAGTTGGTTCTGATGGAGAATTATGCCTAAAATTTTACAAGGTGAGTAAATAGAAAGTTTTGATAAATACCTGATCTGATATATTCAGCAGATCTCTTGAGTTCCTTTGATAACTAAGATATTAATAAAAATGAACTCATTGTTCCTTGCCCATTCTCAATAAAAAACAGTCAAATTAATTTATCAAGTATTGAATTGGCTTTTTGTATTAAGTAATTTACACAAAATCCCTTATCTGCTTTTATGTAATTTGTAGAGAAATATGAAAAAATATTAATGACTTGAAAATATTTTTGTAGCTATGATTCTCTATGGCTATTGCCTTAGAAAGCAAAAACTCTCTGAAAATTTAGAGATGGTATTTTTTTTTTTATTATTATTTTTTATAAATTCTCAAAAAGCTAAATTTTACTTCTTAGTTTTTACATCACACATTGCTTCTGATACAAAGTATGTTTGGTTAAATAATTTAGACGTATTATGTCTTATTTTAATTTTGCTCCTTTCAAGTCCATGGATTAATTTGGTAACTGTAGAAAATTGAAAAATAAAAAAAATTTTCTTTCAAATAATTTTTATTTTCCCAAGTACTTTCAATCTCTTCTGAGATCATCTTCATGGGTTGAGTGTCTGTGTATATGTTTGCGTGAACACTGCAAAATTCAAAATATTAACCTGTTATGTGAGGGAGATAATTTTAGTTTTTTTTTTTTTTAAGTATATTTTTGTGGGTCTAAAAGATTTTTAGTTTTTAACAATTCTAATTTAGAATTTTTAAAAACTTTGCTGCTATAAACATTTAAGAACTTTGTTCCTATATTCATTCAGTTGACCTTATTTTTGATTGCAATTCTCTTATGTAAAGAGCCTCTAGAATTTTTAGTTTTGCTTATCTTGGTGGAGCACTGTTGTATTTTTGACTAATATCTGTCTAAAAACTCTGAATGTGGGCATTAATGTTCCTTTAAATGCTCTGAGATTGAACTATGATTGTTTAAATGGAACATAAGTTCTCTTGTCATGGTCATTGTAGTAAAAACAACATACATTTTATTAATGCTTTTGTCAGAGATGCAATCTCCCAAAGGCCATTTAATTCTGAAAATACAAAGACCTAACCTAATAACAAAACCATAGCCTCACTTGATGTTGAAAGTATATTCACCAACATTCCAGTTAGGGAAACTATAGATATAATCATAATCATCTCTCCCTCCATTAAAAATTAGTTCTAATATTTTATGAAAACTACTCTTGATGTGCATCACGGAACTTCCCTTCTATAACCATCAAAATAACATATACGTACAATGCGATGGTGTTTTCATGAGTTCCATCTTGAGACCAACGTTTAGTAATTTCTACATGACTAACCTAGAAAATAACTTAGTTAATACCACAAAAAACCCTCTGTTGCATGCTAAACACAATTGTCATGCCATGTGCCTGATGATTGCATGAAACAGATTGTCACCTCTGGGTGGTGACTTCAGTGTCCACTTATATTTGTTTCTCATTTGCATTGTTGTTTGTGTATCTTTTTTTTATATATAAATTTAAAATTCATTATTATGGTGGAATTGTGCTCAGTTTCAGGACTATTTGTAGATAAAGACACACATAGGTGCTGAAAACTTCTTAGTCTAGCTCGCTCAACAAAATATTGTTGACTATCGCAATTTTCTTTAATACCTTCATGGTTGGGCCAAGAACTTTCAGGTCTAAGGCCATAAATTTTTACATTTCTTTATTTTCTTCCAGGGTAATGTTGCTCCAACTGTGACAGGAGGTTGTACAATGGTGTTTGATGAAGTCGAAGAAGTAAAATGCCATGCTCCAGGCAATGACCGTAAACGCCATAGTTCCTGTTCAAACATTCCTGAACATGAGAATAATGGCCACTGGACAGACACCGAAGAAAGATGTTCTTATGCAATCAATGGATATGGAAACAAGTAAGCTAATTACCTTGGCTTCCTTGCAGTTTCTTTGCATTTTATCTTGCTGAATTATAAATGAAGATAATATGAAGCACATAAATTTAAGTACCAGTAATTAGCTATTTTACATTGCTGGAATTTTGTGTGAATGTGTCTGTAATCCACTGCTTTTGACAACTTTTAACGTTGACACATTTAACACCTCATCTATCACTTCTCAGCTCACACACCACACTCCTCCCTGGCCACCTGATCTCTGCCTCTTCTCTTCTTCCTCTTGGTCATGTCTCTAGTTCTACTTTGTTGAATAATACCAATATTATGGGTCCTCCAGCTTTCTTTCCCTCCTCAGTTGGGCCAGTGTATCGTCTTGATAGTGTTGATTTGGGTTTTCCCAAAATCCTATGATATTGGAATTGATGGCAAAGTTTAGTGTGAACCCTTCATATAGTTGGAGCACCAGGGAATGAAGCTCATCAGAGCTATGAAAATATTTGTAGAAAAGACAGAGGGAAGCCACGTCACATCTGTGAGAAAGTGTTTGAAGTCAATAAACCAATTCAGGATTGATTACATTACAGATCCTTCTTTGGATTTTGTTGAGAACCTTGAGATAAACGGCAGGGGCACCAGACCAGATATGGTGACAGTATTCAATGCAAGGATAAATAGTAGATGTGTAAGATGAACTCTGATGAGAAATACCTTCTGGTATGACAGTGAACCAACTTTCCTTGCAGTAGATGCAGCTATTGATTCGATGTAGTTGTTCCACTTTAAGCCAGTTGAGGCCAAGAAGGCACACTCAGCATGCTGATGGGAGTCGGGACATTTCTCTATGGTGGTTAAATGAGAGCAGTTTAGTTTTGGAGGGATTAAAATTTACAAGACATTTCTTGCCCCAGTCAACCACTGATTCGTGGTCCTTTTTGAGAGCAGCAGCCAGGTTAACTTTGTCATCACTGCCAGGCTTACTATTGAGACAAATAAATGGTAGTGTCTGTGTAGATGCCTACTTGGGAACTGTTGACATCAGGGAAATCATTGATGACGATCAGAAATAGTGTAGGGCCCAGGATAAAGCCTTGGGGAACACTCACATTAGTATGAAAGGAACTGGAAGAGAGCTCGTTCAGGACTACGTTCATTTCCTGATTAGATAGGAATGAGTGGATTAAATCAAGTAATACCGTAGCCCTAAAGCTTATATTTTGTTGATGAAAGTGAAACTGATGTTTTATTTGCACAATGGAACGAATGTCAATAGTGAAGTTGTGGATGAAAGCACTGGTCTGAGTTGGAAGATGTTGCTGAAACTGATGTTAGTGTTAAATCAGAAAATGAAGTTGAATCAAATGTTAATGAAAATCCTGAAGCCCAGTGTTTTGTTGATGAGTCAGAGGTGCAATTTATAGAAAATGATGAGGAAACCTTTGAATCAAGTCCTGAGAGACTAAATAAATGCTATAGTAAACACAAATAATACTATGCTCTTCCAGATGTAACTATTTGTAAGGCACAGATGTTATCTCAACCAAAGAAATCTGGGAAATGAAAAGATTGGATCAATGTGAAAGTAGTTGGAGCTGATCAACCAAGCTCAGTAAATTGGAATTAAATTCTTGGGTTTAGAAAATTGGGAGACTTGGAGCAGGTATTGGTGTTGACTGTTATTGAGGCTTTTGTCAACAGCATGTTATTAATAGTAAAAACAATGAAATTAGGAATTTGTAAAACAATGGTATATTTGAATGGGTAGATGATGAGCAGCAGAAAATAGTATTATGTAGATGGGTGTTGGATGAAAATGTCTACTTGATGGGTATAAAAGTCGCATCTTATGTCAAGGATGAGAGAATCCAACTTTGTTTAGCGATGGTAATGGCTTCAAGTAAGCATTGGGATCTTTATTCATTGGACATCTCTTCAGTGTTCTTGCTAGGAAATGAAAGAAAGCGAATGATAAAAGAAAAATTATTTAAAAAGATCTTTGTATGGTTTGTCTGATGTTCCAAGGCAGTGGTATGACCATATATGTCTGGAACTGAAAACACTGGGTGGTAGTCTATATGATTGGTCTTTTATTCATGTGATAAGAATACGATAATTTAGATGGTTTGATTATTATTCGTGTAAATTGCTTTGAGTATTGTGGGACATTGTCCTGGCATGATAATGTTGTTGAAAAATTTGTCAGATTGTTCAAACTTGGCAAGAAAGAAAAGTTTATTGGTTTTGAGTGAACAAAATGGTAATATGTTGATCAACAAGCAATGGATTTAAAGAAACAACTAAATGACAAATTAATAGAAGGAAAACAATTGAGGTCTACTGACAGACAAATACTATTGGGTAACTTCCCAAATGAAACTTTGTGGCTTGTGAGATTTGTCAAGTGACCAATTATGAAAATGAAGCAACAGTTCAGTATTATAGAAGCAAAATATAAAGAAATGGAAATTGGTGTGACTGAAGAAAATCATTGTTTATAGTAATGCTTCCCATACCTTGTTGCCCAATGATGATGCAAACACTGTCTTTTGTCTGGAAATGAGAAAATGTTTCCAATATCATAGAAATACAAGAAACAGGATAAAATAAGGCCCCTTTGGCATATTATGAAGGATCTGCTGCTGCAGCTAAAGTAAAATACAGATCCTAGCTGTTGAGTGTACACAGTATGTGTGAGAGAAATGGTTGACATTAAAGAAATTGACCTCAATGGGTTTCCCAGACACGGGCAGACTGCATGACTAAGAGGTGCAGCCTTAGGACTCCTGCAAATGGCATTGAGCAGTGGAGCCTATCAAGAGTACAACAAGCTTTTTTTTCTTTTTTTTTTTTTGTTACAGAAGTCTGTCTATATTGTTAGTTAGATATATGGTGGGGGAATTGTATGACAAAATGGAAAAAGGTTTATATGTGAGGCATTTTGTCCTTTAGGACCCTTTTTTCCTCATTTTGTTGTAGACTTTTTTTTTTCCAAATATTGTTCTTGATATATAAAAAAATTATTATATATACTCATATATACACACCACCCATGAGATGGATTGAACCTCACAAGCTCTAGTTTATCAAAAACTAGAAATCAATATTTATACCCACTTATTTATTGTTTTATTGTTGGACTTGCCTATCACACCTGCTTGGAATGGGTTCAGCATATCTTAAACTTATTTATTAAGCTCATGAAATTTCTCCAAAGTCAGATCAGTTCTAGTTCACCTGGTGAATCCTTGTCTGTTTACTTTTAACAATCTTTATATGTATGTTGTTTAAAAATTATGAGAATTCATTTGAAAACTTGAGTTTATACCAAAAACTTGTTCAGTAAACACAATCCTTTCTTCTTTTTTCATGAGTGAAATATTGTTTTTCAGTTAAGTGGAAATTTGATATTATCTCTTTCCACTTCTTGATATCTTTTTGAAATTTGGCAATTCCTTTCTTAGGCTATAAGTCACTGTAAAGTGATTATACTATTATTTCCTGGTTTTATAATAAATAGTATTTATTCAAGGAATGAAAAATGTGTATAAATATTCATTAAATTTATTCATAGTTTTTACATGTTTCTCAAACTGAACTGTATCTAACTGAGCAATTAAGACAGGAAATGAATTTCTACTAATACCTGTCAGCTTTTGAATCACTTTCAAGGCTAATTTTTCTTTAAATTCTGATAACAATAAGCATCAATTCACAGATACTTTCCATTGTCATTTTATTCTCATAATTGTTAGTTAAAGTGCAAAAAAAAGGTTTGACTACGAAACATCTCTTCCCATTTGTGTTCCCATCATTCCTTACTTTCTGATGTTATTGATTTGCAATACAAAAAAATACTACCTTTAACCCATAATAATTGCTATATTTAGTATATGAAATGTTGATGCAAATGTAACTACTATTTCTAAAGAATTTTGCAAGATTGTTAAAGGACTTTATAATTGGAGATATATATGTGGTAGACATACCACCTCCTACATAATGGCAAGACATTAGTGCCAATGGTGTCTTTATCTATCAAATGTCTTAACATTTCTGTTGCATCCTGTATAAACCTTGTGTAAATAATTCATAATATAATAAAAATAGCACTCCCCAAAATTCAGTAAAATGGCTATAGATTTTAAAATGACATTTTCTGCTGGAAAATATTTTTGTTGTCTTTTTTTGCTTGGAAGATATTGAGAATCAAACAAAAATACAGTTAAGGTTTCTCAAATTTTAAAACCTTTCTAAAGAAAATAGTTTTTAGTACTATTGCCATATGTATCTCATTTCTGGGTATATTTTCATCTATGGTTGAAATTTCAAATGAAGTTTCAATTGGTTTAATTTCTTGGAACTTATCTTTATTGAAATATATATTTTTACTTTATAAATGCAATCTAATCATGATTACTTCAAATTAAAGTGGTGGTTGGATGTCCTGACATTTAAAAAAAAAAAGAAAAAAAAAGACTATAATAGAAAATATTTTTTGTAAACTAGATTATTTTGAATTAGCTTTTTAATTACTCAGTTAATAGAATTTGGGGCACATTATTTGACTGGATAAAAAGTTTAGTCCTAGCTGAAAATATGCTAATCTGTCCAGTTCTTTGGAACTGTGTTCATTCACTTCTGATTTTTATTTTAATTTATTAAAAGTAGTTTGTTCCCTCATTTATAATTGTTTTTATAATTATTCCATTAACTCATTAATTATTGGTAGTAATCTAAAAAATATGCCATTTTTTATTCCAGGAAAACCAAGGCATTTCATGTGTAGTGGACAGAACCACATGATTCTCTGAGAAGATTCTTTTGCAATTTTTTTTTTATTCAAACAAAACCTTGTATGAAACTGGGGTTAAAAGATACATAAAAATAAATATTTGTATATAATATTGTATATATCAGCAAAAAAAATTGTATTTTTCTTATCTCTCACACACATACATATATATATATATATATCTCACTTGGCTGTAGCAAGTATTTTGTCTTTCACAGTAGATATATATATTTCCTCAAATGAATCTATATAAAAGAATTATTTGATTTTTTTTTTTTTTTTTTTTTTTTTTTTTTTTTTTAACTGTAAATTGTAATAGTTAAGTAAGTATTACAATTTATATTGTAAATATTAAAACAAAATATTTTTATAAAATGTTCAATAAGAAACTGACAATTACAATTTTATGAATTGCCCATACAACAAAAGAGCAAAAATCTGGTTGTTTGTAGCAAATTTTGAAAACTTCCTGGTTTTCCTAAATGTGAAAAAGAACTAATACTATAGCTGCAAAGATGGTGATATCCCCGGACAAAAGGAGAGATGTTCACATTTGATTTGGATGTAAACATTTTGATAATTTGTCTGTAATATTCATGGAAGAGCAACATTTTTATCTTAAATACATACCTAGAATATGATTTCTAATATTTTCCATTAATGCATACCTGTTTGTGTTGAAAAATTTTACTTCTCAGGACAGACTCAATAATTCTTTTTCATTGCTTTATTAAAAAGAAAAGACAATTTTTTTATATTCATTGTTAGGGTTCTTTTTAATTTTTTTTTTTTTTTTTTTTTTAATAATAAAACAAGAAAAATGTGCAACTATAATTTTAATATCCAAAACTTAATTTTGTGTATTTGTGTATTGAGTTTATTACTAGAAAATGTATTTGTTATATGCATGGATACTTTCTCTACAGCCAAAATGATAATGTAATCTTTTAAAGATGGCAATTGTTCAAAGAAACAAAAAAAAATTGTATTTCTTGGGGAATTATTTTTTTCTTATTATAAACAAGGGCTCATTGTCATGACATGAAACATTGTTTCCTACATTATCTTGTAATCTGCTTTAGGACTAAAGTCATTCCTTGTGTGTCATTTTTATGCTGATGATAATTTACTAGTAACAAGTCATGAGCTCTAAAAAGTTTGCTGAAAATTAAGCCATTGATAAATTACATCACAATACTCAACTGAGGTAATAGGGGATGTGGAAGCATAATGAACATATGAAATCTTTTTGTAATTTCATATAGATGTTCTAGTTGAAAATGATTAAAGACTTCGGTTGTAGATTAATAGGTTTGGTTTTGTTTGTAAATGTAATTGCTTATACCAATATTGGTGCAGAAATATTGGTTTAATATCATCAAATGTTGGAATCTTTATTACCATATCTGTTCTCCATTTTACAATAACAACTTCATTCATTCAAAACTGAAAATCAAATTGTCAGTTTTAGTCAGCAGATTTTCAGTTTCCTTGTTGTTTTTACTAAATATTTATATTGCTGGTCACTAATTTTCATGATTATTCCAGTTTAATGTTTAACAAAAGATGTTTGAGAAAAAAATTCTAAGTTTTTTATATGTCATATTTTTATTTTTTATTTGATGACTTTTGCAAGATTCTACTATGGTTGTGCATGTTCATACAAATGAAAGATACAGAAAGAAAGATATCAGCAGGGACATTAATTATAACTGTATATATGTTTTTTGTATGAATTTTCTATTGGATTTGTTTTGCTCTTTGTATATTTTTATATGTAAATTCATATTAGCACCCAAAAGACAATAAGCAGACAATTTGTCTAAGGCTGATTGTTACAATGCTCTTGAAAATGGTTTGAATACACTTCTTACTGTTCTGTACATATTTTGTGACTAAAAAGTTTTTATTACTGGCATGTCATGATGGTAAATAAAGAGCAGGTGAGTGAACAATCTAGCAGATCATTCTCTTATAAATACTTTACCGTCCAAGCACTAGTAACAGTAAAAAAAAAATAAAAAACAATTATTAACATTGACAGTCATTATTATAAATATGGCTGCAAAATATTTATTTTCTAATCTTTTATACTTTGTTTTTAATGGGAATGCAGTGGGAATTATTTCATAATTAGGTATTTATTTTTCTCCTAATGAAATTTAAATGCAGACAACTGCCTTTTGACAGTGACAAAATGTTAAAACATCTCTGATGCTGGATTTCAGTCTTGGCAGTAATATACTTGGAGGAATAATTATTTACATGATTGTTCTCTGGTATTTAGTCTGTTAATGACCTTTACAACATTAGAGCTAGATTTACAATAGATTTGAATTAAACATTTAAAGAACAAGTTTCTCAGTAGTGAAATTAGGAAGGAATTGTATTTAAAAATTTAAGTGGAATGGTTGTTGCATGTACATTACATAATGTGACATCAAAATTCAATAAAAAAATTGTATTAACTAAGTGCTCACTCATTTGAAAAATAAATTTTTAGTTTTTGAGAATTGTATATTGGACTTAGAAGTCTAAAATGAACTCCCTAAGTAAAGCTTGTTAGATAAACAAGTTAATTTCTTATCGAAGATATGACTAGTCTTGTTAAGACTACACTTTCTTCCTTTAATAATGAAGTATACAAACTCATTGACTATAGATTTTACATGCTTATAAAAGTAAGCAGGATGCCTAGTAAATTAGAAATTAAAAAAAATGGGAGATTTATCAGTGTCTACAAAATATTTTTATTTCAAAACCTAATGTGCTAACAATTCTGATAGTTTTTAAATCAATTGAGGATAAAAAAAAAATTATAGCATATGAAGTTACAACTATACATAGTCTTAGATTCTCTATCTATCTCTACCTGTCTGTCTCAAAGTTCCAAGTGATGAAATTTTAATTTTAGTAGCAATGGGCTTTCAAAAATAACTTTATCTGGTTTCTGTGTGTCTCTACCAGATACAATATGAACTTTACAAGTGTTTTGATTCTATATTCATTTTTAAATGAAAATGTAGAATGCTCTAAACGTAAAAACATACTTTTAGTTTCTGATTTATTGAATAACATTCTTAAATCTTGGCATTTAATTTTTTTTTTTTAACTTTGCAATAGACTTTAGCATTTTATTCTTTACATTCCTTTGACACTATTTAAAATGAATGACATTTAACCTCTGTTTGTCCTCATTTATTTAATTATATAATACTGAGCACAGTATATCTAATCATAATTAAATGAGTAAATAACTTAATATCTAATGCAGTTAGTGTGGATAATGAGAAACTAACGGCCAAATACAGTGATTGATATCCCCCACTAAAAAAAAAATTTGATCCGACATACAAATTTTTAGTCTTAGTTTTATTACATCTTTTTTTTTATTATTATTATTATTTACTGCTTCCCTTTCAGACCCTCATTGTGATATTATATAGTAAAGTGTAGTTCTAATAAACAATGCATAATGTTATGTTTTTTGTTTTTGTTTAATATTTAAGAATTTTCTGAAAAAATTGTCTTGTTCCCTCTTTCTCCCTCCCCCCCCCCGGAAAAAATGATTAATATTCAACATTCATAAATTAAATACAGAACTCCTCTTTCTCACTTAGAATGGTATATGCAATTTCAATAAACAGCCACATTGTCTTTAAACACTGTTCCTCAAAGTTGATGTTGAGCCATGTCAGTATCTAGATGGATGACTTGGATGTGCAGATGGTAAGATGGATAATGGCTTGGGATTGTTAATCTAGAATTGGGGGGGTCGTATATTCACTTATGTGCAAATATCTTTGGGAAAGGTTTGAATCCACCTCTCCTCTCCCCCTCCAGCTTGGGGTTAATTAGTAAGACTTGTATCATTAAAGCCATTATCTAAAAAAATGTGTACAGAATATTTAGATTTTGGCATAGAGGTTGATATACCACTAAACAATCAACCAACCAAATGAAAAAAAAAGCTTAGAGTATTAGTGTTAGCTTTATATGAAAATCAAAATCTTAAAAAAAAATATTTTTATTTTTTTATTTTTTTACATTTCAATTAGTTTTAATGAAAACCTTAAACTTCAGTATTTTGTTCTTGGAAGTAACAATAAATTGAGCAAAATCGTGGTGTATGAAAAATAAGGGGTGGAAATTGTATTTTGTAAGCGTGAACAGCTGTTGACAAAAGGTAATTATTTTTTTCTTTTTTTTTCTTTTTTTATGGTTTTTCAACTTTGTCCTAGTTCATCATGTAGAGTTTCAGTATTTTTTTATGATTAAGTTGTAAAAAAATGTTTTAATGTATTTTATGTATTAATATAAAGATTATTGGAAAAAAGTTACTCACGAGCAAATAGCATCAATGCAAATGGGATAAAGAAAATTGGAGAATTTAGCGATATAGGTGCAAATGAAGCATAATAATCCATCAGAAGTGTTTTATTTATGATATTCCCTAATGGTGCATGGCACTTGGAGTATTGTTGTGAGATGCACGGAATATAATATCCATAGCTGGGGAAATCTTCCCTCTCTGCTCGATTGAACGCTTCCTTGATGCAGATTAAAACGTTTTTCATGCGGCACTTTGTTAAAAAGGAATTATCAATTTTTGATAAGGTGTTGCAGAAATGATTAGTTTTATGTAGGAAACTTTTCGCAGTGGTGATGAATTGAACCTTGTTGGTGAACAGTTCGTCACTGGTGACAGGTGCTAGTTTTGATTCAATGCAGTTCTTAAGCTGATTATAATTAAACTGCTTACAAAACTCTATGTAGTAGTTTAAAGGAAATCTGAAGTCAGTAAGTTTCTTCAGTATGCTGTTTTCGTAGCAATGGAGATGAGGGCCATAGTAGGGGATAAGAACTCTGTTGAGATCTGTTTCAAGGCATAATTTACTCTGTAACTCGTGCAAATATTGTGCTTGAAGTATCCCTGCCTTGATTCCACACCGAGCATACTTAATATAGTTACAGCGCGCAACTTGGCGCCCGCA